GGTAATAATGAGGAATATCATCATGTGAAGACCAATACCGAGTTATACCGAGCTATACCGAGCAATACCGAGCACATACCGAGTTTTCTCTAGGAAAAACTATGTATTTTTTTTGTATTGCTCGGTATAGCTCGGTATTGGTCTTCACATGATGATATTCCTCGTTATTGTTTGGTATTGCTCGGTATTTGCTTGGCATTTCTCATTTTTTAGCGCGATTTTAGCTCTGGGAGGACGCATCTCTGCGTCAGGTGAGAGGACGCAATAATAATTCTAAGGGGAGAGTGGTCATAATCAGAAGGGAGAATTACTTTGTAAAAAGTAGATTGAAAGCTATCAAGCAATGCATTATTAACCAAAATACGATCCAATTTGATGTGGATAGGAATATCTACCCTTTGATTGGACCAAGTAAAGAAGAGGCCCACAGAAGCTAGGTCTTGAACCCCACAATAAAAAACAACCTTGTTAAGTTCCTCTAGTATGCTAGAATGAAGCGGGGTTCCTCCAGATTTTTCAAAATCATATCTATAAAAATTGAAGTCCCTAAGAATGATCCAAGGGGAATCAGAAGCAGGAGCCATATTGCAGAAAATATTCTAAATTTCCCTCCTATCAACTGGACTGTTGGCAGCATAAATAATAGAAAGTAGAACAAAAGAAGAAGACCCAGCTGAAAGAATGCCATGGATGATTTGAGAGGAGGAGAGGATAGAGGAGAAAGAGATGTGAGAGGCATCCGATTTAATCCATATTCTACGAGGGGTAGAAAAACTAAAGTTGTGGTAACTAGCTTCATTATCAAAAACAAAATGAGAATTGATGAACCATGGGTCAAAAGTGGCCTGAAGATTCAGTTTGGCTTCGAGAATGTAAAGAACTTTTAAACTATACGACTTGACAAGGTCCTTGTAGAAATAAACCTTTTTGGGGCTATTAAACCCGTCTCATTCCAACTAGCAAAAGGGGGAAGAGACATTAATACCTTGAGGATTTTGCCTTCTTGACAATTTTGGGCTTAGATTTCTTAGACGTGAGGGGATTTAGATGAATGAGTATCATATTTAGAATATGAAGAAGGATCTCCATCCAAAATGTTAGCCTCCTCAGAAGAGGATGAAGGAGGATTGTTGTCACCAAAGTGGGTTTCAGAAGAGGGAAGAGAAGAGGATTCTTTTGTTTGCAAGAAAGCGAACATGTTGGAAAGAGGGACTTTAGGAGGTGGTTTTCGGTTCAAGAGGAGGCTTGCTCCGATGAGGAGTCCTCAGTTGGGGAATTGAGGTTAGGTAGAATGGGGTCTTTATTGATGTTTTCGCTGTTAGGGAGAGAGGGGCCAATGATGACAACATTAAGAGGAGTGAGGGTTGAATTAGGTCTTGAGGTTAGTTCGAGCTCTGGATAATACAAGGAAGTGGGGTTTGGAGCCTGAAGAAGGAGTCCAGTGATTAGGGTTCCTATTGGGGCTCCTCCCTCTAGGTCGAGGAGGTGGGGAAATGATAGGTTTGGGTTTGGGGTTGGAGGGGCATAAAGGGAAAAGATGAATAAACGAACTATAACCTTCATAAGGAGAAAGTTTCTAATCATAAACAACTTTGAGGATTAAATCTTCCACATCAATTTGAATCGATATTTCATCCTGAAGTGCAGAATCCTTGGAAATTTAGACAACCCCGAGCAAAGGTAAGACGAGTCCTTTTGGCGGTGAGAGGGTCAACTGTTAAAGGAATTTCAATGTAACTGACAATCCTAGAAATACAAGTCGGAGTCCATAAAGCCAGTGGAAGGTCTATGATTTTTACCTAGAGAGGAATGGAGGCTGCTTCATCTCGGATCGGCTTGAATTTTGGCTACCAGCGTTGTAGGATAAAAGGCTTTACCAGAAGGAACATGGACATTCAGTCCAAATCATCTCTAAATCTTTTGAAGAAGTAAACTTCAACAAGAAAAAACCATCCGCAAGAGAGAGCATAGAAAGCAAACCTTTGAGAGTCCAACATTTTTTCATGGCAGCAAGCAGCCACTTATAGTAAGGATGCTGGCCAATTGAATAACTCACAAGAGAAAGTGCCCGAAGAGTGGTACCTTCCGTTAAATCATCGGCCGAGAAGGAGAGCTTCTGGCTAGGAGAGATGTAAGACATAGGAAAGTCTAGAGGTATTGAAGCTGGGGCCGACAGATTATCAACACAAGGGGTGCTTTGAAGAGGAGGATGGGGGGGGGGGGGGGGGGGGGGGTTAACACCCTTTGATGGATTAAACTCCATCAGGGGGAAGGATCCACCCTGATGAAAAGAGCGGAAGGGAGCATAGTGGGGGGAGAAAGGTGCCCTAGAAGAGTGAAAAAATCTCTTTCTTAGAGAGAAGAGTACTTAGAAGTTAGAGAGAAGATTTATATTTAAGATTTTAAATGAGGAATCCTTATGAAATTTTAGGTGTCTTATCCTCACCGTGTTATTTTTGTAACTATATAGTATGTTGTTATGCAACTCATCATTCATTTAGGATTGTAACTTCTCTTTTAGTGCTAATTGATTGTGGTTGTGTTTGTGTTCATTCCAATTATTAAATACCTTTATAATATCTTTGGTGTTATTAAATAAATGCAATTTCAATTACATTTGAGAGTCTATTGCAAAATTATGATAATTAAAATTTAGCTAATAACTGAAATCTAATTTCAATATATCATTTCATGTTAATAATTGTACTATGAAATTTCTTATTATTAACTAATTGTGTCATTTGAAGATACAATGTTTACTTATTATTAAAAAATTCGAGTTGACCCTGAATTGGAATAGCTTATGAAGGGCTTTCTTTCAAGCAACCAGAACTGTTGGGGCAGAGGTGCTAAGGGATACATAACTAGGAAACTTGAAAGGAGCAAAACATTTGTAGAGATTTGAAACTTTGATAATTATACTTTCTCATATGATTTGACACGTATTATATCCTATTAAATACAATTCTGCTTTGATCTGTTTGTTTGGTAAGCTTCATATTCTATTGTTTTTTTTTTAATGTTTGTATTTGTAATCATCAAAATCTAGAGAAAATATGGGGTCTAATTACTTAATGTTTTCCTATTTTAGCCCCTACTCATTTATTGTTGAGAAGTAATTGATGCATAGACTCCTTTACTATCTTATACATTAAGTTGAGAAAAATAAAATTTTGGCAGATTCATATTTATCAATCCTAGTGTGCAATTAGTTCTCTAAAGATGCCAAAGGAAGGAGAATTGTGATTGACTATTCAAATACTTCCCAGATGGTGACCATAACTTGTTTTTACTGTCTATAATTGGATATAACAACACAATAAAACTCGGGTACTTAACCCTTAAAAAATTAGCTATATGAAGTAGCATGAATCATGCTATGAGATTACATGACTATGGTTTCATTTGGGATAGCGTTCTTCTTGCTTTCTAAAGCAGCTTTTTAGGACAAAACTTTCTAGTTAAAGAAATTTTTGCATTAAAAAATTATTTTAGAAAACAATAAAAAAGTTGTGCCAAACGGAGCCTACGTGATGTACTTGGAGACTGCAAGCATTTTGTTAGCGATGATATAAATGTTAAGATTAATGTCTAAAAATGTTTTCTTTTTCCTTCTCTTCTCTAATGATAATCCTAGCTTAATAGATTTAGGCTTCGTTTGGGACGGCTTTCTTACTGCTTCTTAAAGTATTTTTTTATTAAAAAACTTCTTTAAAAAATAATAAGAAAGTTGTCCCAAACGAAACCTTAAAATTTTAAAGAACCAAGATATTTTGTTTTCTCTACTTTTCCACAATTTTCTCACATTCTTTTGAGATATCATTTTAATTTAGCATTCTTTTACTCTATTAGTTTGTTTAAACTTTTCATTTTTTATTCATGAAGTAACAGAGGAATCGTTGTTGGCGTTTTTTTTCTAATTGTTTGACAATTGCATATCGCTAGCATTTCCCTCAGCTTTTGGTCTGCAACCTCTGCATTTTTCATAACAAATTTCTAATTATAGTTTGGTGGCTTTGCAAATTATTATTTTTTTAAACTAGATTTGTTTTGTAGTTGGGAATTAATAGAAGATTAATATTTCATTTGGTTGTTAGTGCTTTTTAAAATAATTTTTTAGTATAAATATTTTTAATTCAAAAAATTTTTGTACTAAAATATTACTTTAAAAAATAAAAAAATTATCTCAAATGAAGCCTAAAACTACAATATCATATTAAAAACTTCTATCTACATGTTTGAAAAATGTTGTAATAATATATCATTTTGTATAGAGATTATTATGCCATGAATATATATTTCATTGAAGATTATGGACAAAAATTATAAAAGAATTAAACTTATTCTTTGTTTGAGACAACTTTTTTTAGTGCTTTCTTATGCAACTTTATAGTAAAAATTTTTCTTGAAAGCGGTGATCAAAAGCTGTCCCAAATAAAATCTTAACTTCTCCAAAATACTGGAAAGGCTTTCTATGCTTTTTATAATACGAGAAATGGTAGAATTATCATTTTATTAGGACCATTGCAATTTTTATTAATATTTATGATAAAAACTCTACAGCAACACAAAAGTATAGAATTATGCAAACAAACATGCATATGCATGGCTTATGCTTTCATTTATTTATTAAAAAAACTGACATTGAGATGTACATCATAATTCTTTTTTTACATAACCTCTAAACAACAATAACATGCAATGAAAGAAGCAAAATTACAGAATTGATTTGGTAACTAAGAAACAAACTATGAATTGACTCCACAAGCTTTAACTTTTGAAATGACTCCATTGAGTTTGACCATTCTGATCATAATTGCATGATCTGGACAAAGATGCAGAAAACAACAATCTACAAAGCTTAGAGCTGGGAAGGAATCGAAATTTTTCTGTTCAGAATGTAAAAAACGAATAATATATTAGAATATGGTAAACTTAAAATGTTTTAAAATCTAAAACTAAATTCAAATTAAGATCATTTTGAGACAATAAGAAATGTACCTCAACAAATAGAAGTACCTTCAGGAGCCCTTGCAGCAATCTTAGTATTGAAACTGAAAAGTTTAACAGTTAAAAAAATGTCAAAATATGTATACATATTTCACCTATCTACTTCATAAAAAAAATTATTTACCGAGCTAAGTGCTACATAAAGCTCATCTGTGTCATCCATATTCTCAAACTCAGATAGGATTGCCAAATTCGAAGCATTGCTTCCCCAAAGATCTTCCAAACTATAACTTTGAACATCAACTGAATCCATATTTATTTGTGCACCCGAGTCGGAGCTATTTTGTGGTTGTTTTTGTTCAACTGCATGAATTTATGACAATATTACAAATTAAAAAAAAAATCAATAATAAGAAGTAAACATTAAATCTTCAAATACTTACGTGCTAATAATGTTGCAAGCTCATCAAAATTATTGTTATCATTAAGATCATTGTTTAAAGCGAATTGTTGAGATTCAAATTGATTTTCACTTTCTCTTCTTGCTTTAGCATTATAAAAAATTTGTTGGTTAAGCTCAATTGTATTTCTTTTCAAGCCTTTTCTGTACTTCTGTATCACACAAAAGAAAATAATTTTATTTATTTATAATAAATTATGAATGAGTAAATAATCTTTACAAAATTTTCATTAATGATAACCAAATAATTTGAAATAAAAATCATT